CTTTCTTGGTGAAACACTGGGTTACAGATTGACATCCTTTCCTTTGTCTTTCCTCTCTCTCTTTCCTCTCTTTACTTTTTTGAAAACCAGATTTTGATTTACTAGTTAACATTGTGATCACTGTAGTTCTGGCTCATCTACTGACTGCAATAAACACTGATAAGTGAGCTAAGGCAGGACCAAACCATTTCATGCAGATACAGGGGGGTGGTCGGTCAATATGGATGTTTGCTTTTTGGTCAATGTGGATATTTAACTTTTACTACCAAAAACAAGTAAAAACAAAGAGATCATTAATTTTATTATTATATTTGAAATATATATACTGAATGATGATGGTTTAATAATTCTATATTAGTTTTTACCTATTTTTTGGGTCCACTGTCAGTCATGGGCCCTTGGAATTGTCCTAACTTTTCCCCCCTAGGCGCCCCTGGTGCAGAAGTTATAGCTATATAAGTCTTTGATATTAGTAATCAAGCCATTCCAGTGCAACTGAACAGTTTGGGTTTATTGTCTTGTTGGCTGTAGTTTGGGGTTAAAATGAGGGGGAAAGAATCCATGTGGGAGCTTGGCAGAGGAAATTCCCGGGATGGGAGCTGGCGGGCTTGAGACGGGTAGGTAATGCAGGTGTAAACAGGGAAAACAGGTGTTAGTCTCACAGACATGCAAATAAACCTACTGGAATGATTTTTAAAAAAAACTAGGTCCTGAGCAGCAAACACATGTCCTGATGTCCACTCAGCGTAATTACTAACTTTACTTCTTTAAAACTCATTAAAACTTTAATCATCAGTTGATAGCAAACTAACAAACCAGCTGTTGGGCTGCTGCACATCACTTGTCATAAAAATTAGAATGTGACTTTTGTGCATATTATTATTATTATTATTATTATTATTATTATTATTAGTGTGTGCAATTCATAAACAATGTATTTATATACACTGGGATTCAGTGTATAACAATCAAACATGAAAAAATACTTTACAGTGCCCTGTGGTTTAACAACTGTCGCACTTGATGACAGCACTCAGCATTTACCAACACATACGGTAAGAATTTAAATTGTGAATTGCCAGTAAAATAAATGATAATCATCATCAGACTTCCTTTGACGTATAGAGAAACTGCTCTCTGTTGGTGCTGCAAGTGCAATGAATGATGGGTGAAATGCTGAACGATGATTTTAATTGTTTAAAAAGTTAATTGCAAGAAGTTTGCTAACTATAAATTTGCTGGACTTGCAGTAGCGCCCCATCAGAGTACACCATACAACACAACACAAGAAGCACAAAGGCACAGGTTTGTTCATTCTTGCTGATCTGAGACGTTTCACAAAGGGTTCTGTTCTGCCATAATTTTTCAATAGACTGATAATAATTAAATTTCACACCCTGATTATTACAATTATTATTATTATTGTTATTAACACCATGAGACTTGTTTGTGTAGCTTGCATTCAGTTGCATATTAAGAATTCTTTGCAACAAAACCCACATTTTCTGGCTCCATGAGGCAACACACAGTAAAGCAACTTTATAAAGTAACACTGTACAATTCGGAACACAAAATTGTTGTTGAGTAGTTACTAAGAAATTAGTAAAACGTTTTACTGCAAAGTGTGTGTGTGTGTGTGTGTGTGTGTGTGTGTGTGTGTGTGTGTGGTGTGTGTGTGTGTGTGTGTGTTGCCTTGTATTATTGGTGCTAGTTTCATTTTAAGACTTCTGCCCACAAGACCACTCTGCATATACTTCCTTTTTATTTTTGTCATGCCATGTAGATGTTTGAATTATTTAAGCCAGTTGAGGAAAGCAAGTTTTCTTTTCAGGTTTTTTTTCAATTGATCTAAGGCAGCAGTATAATGTGATCTATATTTGTGTCTATAACTACGTCTGTATAAGACTCAACTTCTGTATGTGCCAGTAACAGGTATGTGTAAGTGTTAGCGTATTAACTTATTAACTGCCATCAGCAATGAATTACAAATGAAACTGTAAGTAACTGTAACTAAAACAATTTTGACAATCACAACATTAACTCAACAAAACTGTAATAACAAGATTTTCTAGTCACTGCAAAGATTTGTTAAAATAACTTAAATCAGATGTGTTTCTAACATAGTGTAAGTAGTACAAATGGTGGTGAAAAACAAATAAATACATTCATGGAACTACTGTATTTAAGTACAATTAGGAGGTAGGCCTACTACTTTTCACTTCATGCTACTTTTTACTTCTTTACATTTAAGAGGGAAATATTGTACTTTTTAAGCAAGCAGTTACGTTATTTTACAGATTAGGGTTTTACATTCAAAATAAATGATCAATTTGTAAAATACAATGCATTTTATAGATAAAACTACCAAAATGTGTATAAGGTGTGTTCAATTAGCTCAACCTTAACCAGCTATAATGGTGAAATTCTGCTTGTTACATGTTAATGAACCAGTAATAATATATCTTTATACACATAGGTTATACTGTATGTGCGCTATTCATTTACATTATGCAGAGCTTTGTCAGGTTTAAAGGGGAAATCCACATAAAGTGGGGTTTCTTTGTACTTGCATCTGAATTCATAACATGAAGATGTTCAGCCTCTGCTGCTGCTCATCCAGCACTACAGGCAGCCTTTACTTCAATACTCTGGGACCTCTGAAAAGTTGTAATTCATATTGTTACCACAGAGGGGCACTAGTTCCATGCAAAAATTACTAGAAATGTGATCTATTCAGAACAGCTGTTTTACATCAGCCCTTTTTTTGAGAAATAAGATCAGCTCAGATCAAAACTAGGAGTTTAGACATTTACAAAGGAATTGTATTTCCCTTAGTTTCTAAGGGAAAATTATTATATTTAAATGAGATGGCTGAAAAATATGCCGATTTCAAAAGCAAGCCTTTACTATGACTTAATGAGCAATTGGGAAATTAATACAAGCCACCATTACACATTTCACAGCTATCACTGCTGTGTAGTAGCAGGTTACAACTGTTTATCAGCTATCGTCTGTCTTTGTGGAGTGTGTCTTCTCCCTTCTGTCAAAACAGAAGTTTTTGAATTTGAGCTTTGTGACACGAGGGAATTGATGTATCCACCATCTATTTATAACACAGAGAGCAGGTGTGCCGATACACAGAGGCAAAGTGATTGGTTGGGATCCTCTGAGGATTCTGTGCTTGTGTAAATACACACACACACACACACACACACACACACACACACACACACACACACACACACACACAGAACATACTTGCATCTCCCCTATGAAAACATTCATGCACACATACGTTGATCCTACAAAGGAAACCTTTTTACAGTATAGGCACATGCATGCAAGCACATATGTATACAAGAAAAAAAGCATCCCCATGCATGCATACATTCAGACAATAAAAGATTCACAGCTTGCTGCTAGCATCCACACAAATGTACAAACACTCATTTCTATCCAAGCACTCATTTTGACAACACATTTCCAAGTGCTGTCAAATGAAAAGGGAGACAGGATGCTCTTCACAATATCAGCTTCTTCTCCCCTGAGGGTAGAGCAGATCCACACCCACAACCAGATCCTCTGCAGCACTTGACTCAAATGATCTAGTGCACTCAACAAATCAACAGATCTTGTCCTAACACAAATGCTCCACAGACAGCTTCATATATCATGTAAACAGCTATTCAGACAATTACCTGTGGCCATATTTTATGCCTCCAACAGTGAGGTCAAAGTGGTTGAGAAAGGGCAGGCAGGTGGTGGCAAAGTAGCGCCTGTCAAGTCAGAAGAACAGTAGTTTATTACTGGTATTTCAGGAAAATAGTGACAGCATTTCATAAGAATCAAGGGTGAGAGGAAGGTAGCATTGTTTGCAAACGCTTTTTATTGTGGTCATTTGCACCTACATAGCTCCAGTGAGACAAAATGCACTGCTGCAACCTCAAAAAGGAAGTAGACCTGCTTGACAGCAACAGCACTACAATTTGGTTTTACATATACATAACATGCAGTGTCAAATCTTTTTTATTTGTTTTTGGGCTTTGGGGTTGCTTGTGGGCTTTTGGTGGGATACCAGATTGTTTTTCTTGTAGAGTGAGATATGTGTCTCTGTCCAAGGAAAAAGGTGAGAGATTATTTTGTACTCAGACTTATTTTGTGTGGTGTGGTATTCTGTGTGGTGTCTTGGCCTCAGTGGATGCACAGAGTTGGTAAGTGCAAGCCACTGGTTCTGCTTTAGTGAGGTACTCCTTTATAGAGTCACTGTCTGCATGTGGTTTACTGTGCTGAGCTATAAGTTGAGGCACATTTTCAAGCGTGGTTGACCTGAAACAAATGGTTTTCAGAGCGGATGGACTAGCTGCCAACTGTCTCACATTCTCATCTCGCTCTTTACCTGGCAAACCTCTTCAAATGGCCATTGCTATTGTTTTTCCGATGAGGAAACTCTCATCTCATACATATATCCCATGTTGCCCTTTCCTATCCATTTGTATTTGATGGGAGTCACAGTTCTTTCTTTCTCCTCTCTTAATTAATCAAGAGAGACCATCTCCTATTTTGTTCGGGCTTCAGTTCCTTCATCTCTAGTCCACATAAAAACTCCCTTGGTGTTTGTGTGCTTTCTCTTCAGTGGATTATTTTCAGTGACTTCTTTCATACCTATACTAATTTGTGGAAGGATTGAAATCTAAGTAGTAAACCCTGAAAACAATAAATGGACACCTGCACCCCACATTTTTCAATTAAAGGGCAGGCATGAGATTATGTAGCACATGTCAAATGATAACATGATTTTCTCTGAGCCTTAATGTTTTCAGTATATTAACAAGAGATATAACTGGCAATGAGTATAGTTGAAGTAATTCATTTATGATATATGTGGTGTTCTAGCTCTCTCACTTAAGTAGACTCAAATTTTTGGGAAATCTATTCATGCTAGAAAGAAATAAACAGTACTTTGATTACAGTTTTTTAGAACATACAATCAGAAGCAAGTGTTTCTGTAAATGCTTTATTAGCAGATTTCGTAACATGCATGTCATACAGAACAAAACATAAAACCTGGATTCTAAACATTTTACAAACATATTTATAAACGTATTTGAGAAATTAAGCAATTAGGAAATTATGGATGAACAGTTAAACAAAAGTAAAAAGCAACATTTTAAAACAAAACAGGCTTTATCATCTACCTGCATCTTATCTATTGTAAAGTTTAATCTATCCGTCTCATTGTGTCTCACATCACCAGCTGGCCTCAATCTGACTAACATACCGAATTAACACACTGCTCACCAGTCTCCAAGAAGGACCCCATTTCTGGTGTAGAAGACCTTGGCCAAAGAGGGACTCATGGGGGTTGGTATGTATTCCTGACACTGGTTACCACCAAGACTCGGTGCGCACTTTACTATGTAGGAGAAGAAAAAGGTACCGTAATCAAACATGCAACTGTCTGTCACCTTCCCACTACGCAGAGCAAATGAACACTGGCCAAGTAGATCACTGTTCCAGTAAGAATCCTCATCATAAACCCTGAACCTAAGTTTGTTTTTCATGTTTATAGAGATTGGTCCAAATTCAAATGTCTCCGGCCATCTAGGATCGTCATTGTCTGATATAATGGCAGTGCGCTTTATCAGGTTGCCATATTTAACCTCAACTGAACCATCTGTGTAACCCCACTTATCACCATACAGACCCTTTGCATACAGCTTGTAGACCTTTAACGTTGCAAGACCTTTCCCAGCAGGACAGCAGTTGGACTTGATGTTCTGATTACTGTTGCAAACACAAGCACAAGGATCCCTTCTGTTGGATCTGTGTCCAATCTTACAGCTTTCTGAGCATTTTCTCAACACTGCATTTTTCTTGATGTACTTCTCCACCTCTTGCTTCAGTCCAGCACTGGCAGGGTGACCACTTGGCAGTATGGTGTGCAGGGGCTTTATGTTGTATCGGACCACATCGGGTATGTTTTTCAGTGAGTCAAGCCAGCTTTTATAGACGGAGGGGTTTGATTCAAAGAGGATATCAGCGCTGTTGATATTACCACCAATTACCTCTGTGCTACGCTCATTAAATGCACTGCTGAAACTTTGGCTGGAGCCTAACTTCTTCTTCTTTGCCTGACAGTGTTTGTACATGGCCTTAATGCTGGCACTATTTGCAAATCCAGCAGAGGCCTCGACTGACAAACAGTCACTGACTTCTGTTGCCGACAGTCCATTAATAGATGCCTCGCAGGTCTTGATGGCAGTGACTGCCTTCACTTCTCCTCCCAGATACACTTGTGTGATGTAATGTGTACCATATGTGTCGATCAGACTGCGATATAATTGCTCTGCTTTTTGGGAATAAGAAGGAAGGGAGTTCACGGCCAATTGAAACTCGTGACTTAGTGGAGGTCTTGTTGCCAGTCTGTATCTGTGAAGCAGAAAGGTACAAATAAGTTAGTTGCAGCCAATAACACTCATGTTTCGAGCTTAAATGACAAGAGCACCAAGATCTGTCCACATACTCACCGGTAGAAGCGACAGTAGACAGAATGGTGAAGGAAAGTATAGCGGTCTTGTTTTGACTTTTGCATTCCAAAGGTAGAATCTCTGGAGTGGGAACCTCCTAAGCCAACACCGACAGAAGGGACTACAGGGATATCAAGGCCGATTTTCCAATTGTTGGACACAGATGATGTGGAGTCATTGACAAGAGTTTCAACAGAATCGTAGACTGTACTGGAGACCTTTAAACTGCACTTGGGGAGGGTTCTCCAGTCCACCACAGCAACTGGGACTTTCTGGCTCTCTCCATTCATGTAGCTGTTTCTGTACAGCTTACAAGTGCCATTGCCAAGCTTCCATGTTTCAGTGTCGATGACATAGGCACCTTTCCGCTCCATTGTGACGATGTTGAATCCTTCTCCACCCAAATTGTAACCAGGGACTAAGTGAGCCTTTGCACACTCCTGCGGTGTACCAATGAAGCTCACACTGGATGGCAGACACAGAGGACTCCATGCCCAACACAGGAGCATGAGCTGCCACAGCCTTGCCATCTGTATGAAAGTATTAAACAATGAGAGAATGAGAAATGGCATGGACAATCAGTTAAACTATGCAGACTTTGAATGTACAGCTTCAGTATCATAGGAGGAAGGTCTCAGGTCTCTTACCGTACTTTGAGTGTGAACAGCAAGCTCTGTTCAGTGGTTCACAAAGTCTAACGTGAAGTACTGATGTCCAGGAGGCGGAGTCTTATGTAATGTCATATGTTAGATTTTAACAAGTTTTATATTTGTCCAACTTCATTCACACATTTTTAGTACTCCACACCCTACATTTAAGATAATATGAAATATTATGCCCTTAAAAGGGGAAACAGGGCTTTTACAATAACATATTAACACTGAGCAAAGAACCAAGGGGATATATGATAAATTTAGAAAAAAGGGCCAGTTAAGAAACATGTAACAATTGTAATAAAAATAATCAAACATTGTGAAAATAAATATACCACAATATAGGGTTCACAGCACTGACAGAAAGGGGTGAACAAAATCCAGTTGGAGAAGTAATTACAGGCTAATATCTGGCACATACATTTCAAAATTAATATACTGATATTTAAATATACAGTAAGCGGTCTAAAGTTTCAACAACTCCATTTTGCAGCATTTGACAATATTACTCTACACAAAGTTTAGACTAATATAGTAGACTAATAAGTAGTTTCTTCTTACCTTTTATCAAATGACGAAATGTAACGTAAGCTAAATCCAAATATCTACATGTAACTAAGAATTTAAATTGAGAAGATAATATTAAATTTAAATCAAATCAATCAAACATTTTAGCATGAATTTCAAATCTGAATGAAATCATTGCATTAAAATGTAAATGTAATGTATGTAATGTTAAATTTAAATCCTAATAATAGGTACACTGACTGCACTGTAGCTAAATAAGACTTGCAACAAATAGAGTTGCAACAAATCCTATACCAGCATGAAGGTTGTAATGTTTAGTTTGCGCAGATTCAATTTAATGGTGATTTTGGAGGTCATAGTTGACTTGTAATGTGTTGCACTGAGAACAGTGTTTAATTTGTACACCCCATGTATATGAATGATATATGAAAATATTTTTGTGTTTTTACACACATTTCTGCTAGCTTTTTTAAATTTCTGCAGGTTTTTATCTATGCTGGGGGTTCCATAGAGTCCACCATGTTGAACCGTCATGTTTCTACAGTAGCCCAGAGCTGACAAACCATACAGCGTAGATAGGGCCTTTTGCATTTTTCGTGTGTTACGCAGTCACCGTAGTTTCTCCTACACACTTCACTTCACAGGTCGACTTCACACTGCACTTCTAGTGCAACGCACTGGTCCATTCAAATTTTTGACAGTTTTTTCTTGCAGTATTTGGAGCTTTCAATGGGAGCATGGACCACTGCTCCAAAGAGTACCCCACTGGTTTAGACTTGCAATCCTTTAACATTGTCGGACTCTCAATGGATGGTTGAAAAAAAGGATTAAAATCTAATTTTTTCCTTGTCAAACCAACAATGGAACTAGACCACTGAAAGTTTAGTCAGAGATTCAGGTGTGTTATGCTAGTAGCTGCTATCGATAGTGAGGATGCACTGAGCACAATTGAAAGGAAAAACAAAAAAAGTCTAAGTAAGAAAAAGAGAAATGAGGTAAAAGTAAGTTTGAGAGTTCACACCAACACTTTACAGCTCGCCCTCACAAGTTCCTAAACGCCCTATGTATGATCACAGAGTGCTTTTTCGTTGACAATTAGAAATGTTGATGTCCTAAAAATTTGTTGCATAGCTGAAAAGTTGTTGCAAAAAATGTTAACGCGTGAAATTGATGCACAGTGGATGTAGCCACTATTAGATTGGTTTGTGATCTTGAATTCGACTTGGCCTATGGTTGTTGTTTTTTCCAGCATAACTCTATATCCATTTCGCTGTATTCATTTGACCATCTGCTTTCACAAATAGGGCCTGCTACAGGGAAGCAACCCCACAGAATGTTGATGCCACCAGCAGGGTGAGGATGGTGTATTTCTGCAGACATACAATAGTTGAATTAAACCAAACACAAATCATTCCAGTAGTCTATATTGAACGCCAAAAACACTTGATCATCATTAAACATTTGTTTTGTTTTGACGTGTCACTTGGGTGGTGGAACATGTGTCAAATAAAAGGACATCAATTATTACACAAAACTGAAAGATTCCACAAAGAGGAGGAAAATCTGCAGATATTTGGGACATTTTGGAGGACATTTTACTGAAGAGTACATTAATCAGTTTTTATTTACATAAGAAGCTTTAATAAACCCATTGTACACCACCTGCAAAGCACCAAATGACAGATAAAGTTAGCAACTGGAAGAAATTGAACTGCTGCAGTACAGAGATAGATCTTTTTCTCGTTGATTCAGACCGGAAAAGAAGTGTTGGACTAAAATTATGCAGTGAAAAAAAAGAAAACTTTAATACCATTTTGAAGGTGCACAAAAACAGACGTCTTTTCAAAAATGGGAAGCTCACACTATTTTCTGTTTGAATAATAAAAGAAGGTGCCCAATTAGAGTTTTCAACAATGAATTGAGTTTATTCCGCCCAACTTCATTCTTGAGCGCAAATGGAACAAAGAGAAGTAAAGTCAATTGAAAGCATTGTTTCTGACTCAGTTTTTATCAGTAAAAACATATGTCTGTCTATTCTGGGAACTCCTTTGATAAGAAAATCCATGCTTTTGCAGCCTTTTACAAATAGACCAACACTAAACAAAAATTAGACAAAATTGCTCAACTGGATTGCCCCATTTGTTGTATTATAGTGGGTTTCCTCTGAGTGCTCTGGTTTTCCTCCTAAATGTACAAAGAAATTAAAGTTAGGAGGAGTAGGTACTTCGCTATTGCCTGTAGGTTAGCTACTTACTTACTGCTTAGTTACTCCCACAACCCCCTCTCTCTCATCCTCTGCAGGCCCCCACCTCCTCCAACAGTAATACAGGATAAACAGGACACACACAAATGAATGGATGGATGGATGAACAGTGTTTGAGCCTGATAATAGGTTGCAGCAGAATAGAGAGCTTTTAATGTATTAGTGAGGATGCACTGAGAACAATTAAATCGATGGGAAGACAATGTAATCTGATACGTCCTATCCGCTAACTGTGTGTTTAGAAGTAATATTATGTAAGAAATATAGAAATGAGGTAAAAGTAAGGGTGAGAGTTCACACCAACCCTTCACAGCTCGCCCTCACAAGTTCATAAACGCCCTATGTACACGTGTATGATCACAGAGCGTCTTCCTGTTGGTGAATAAAAGTGTGAAGCCCCACAAATGTGTTGCACAGCTGTAAAAGTGTGTTAGGAAAAAAAATTAAATATTGAAAATTAAAAATTTTAATATTGCATTAGTGTGTAATTGAAAGTCCAGGAGATTGGACATTTTCTTGTTTTTCAACAATGAATTACATTGGAAATAGTCAGTCTTTGATACTGACCAACACAAAGACACTCATTGTCAAAGTCAAAGAACTTCTGATCAAAATGTGGATAAATTAAATAGAAATGTATGTCAAACAAAAAAAAAAGTCAAATTGAGTGGAGCACCTTATGCAACTGTGTCAACCTTGAGTCTGTATCTCTTTTAAACATTTCCACCATTTTAATTTGAAAAACCTCTCAGGCTGTGTGTTGCATTGGTACCATGAGTTAACAGCAAGCGTGAAGTACTGCCACTACTGGATTGGTTTGTAGTGCTGAATTTGACTTGGCCACAGGGCATGCTGAAGGGAAACAACCAGCAGGGTGAGGATGGTGTATTTCTGCAGACATACAGTGTTTGCATTAAACCAAACACAAACCATGCCACTAGTCTATTGTGAAAAACACCTGATTTTGATGTCATCAGACCACAGAATATTTTGAGTGAGATGCCAAGAGAAGCATTCTTGTATGCACAGTATCTCAAATCCGGGAACCTATAGCTCTTTCACTCATTACAATAAATTCTGTGACATGTGTAAGGTAGCAGCATCTAAGAAATAAAGAATGGACCTTCTTTTTGCTGTACTGGAATCTTGGTTTATGGCAAATTAATAAATGTATGTTGTCAGTGTTCGGGTACACAAGTTGATTCTTCATTTTGTCTGTCAAGTGTTTTGGTGCCATTAGAGCATTTTGGATGTGAAATTAACTGTTGTGCTGCATGTCAGTAATGACAACTGTGAGAATAGTTTTATACTTAGTATAGAGAAATGCAGGTTAGCAATTTAAAAACCCCTGTAAACTATGGACTCCCAGTATATCCACAAGATGGTGCCATTGACTCGAATACAGAACTTGAATCTGATCTTAATTCTCAGATACATGAAACCAGACCCCAAACTTCATAACTGAATCACATAACAAAGTGTGCATTATAGCAGATATGCAGAGTCAAACACAAGACTCCACACGAGGACCTTAAGAGAGACTGTAGAGGACAACAGAACTGATCCTGTGTCGACTAACATTAGTCACACAACTGCTACACTGTCAGCCTGCCAGCCTCTGCCATAAGAGGAAAACAGTAACTAAACATTTGTCTTATATGTGTGTAGCTAGCCATTAGTACTAATACCTTGTTCCTCTTGCAACCCCTGTGCATTAAACTTATCTTGTCTTGTTGAAAGTCAGCAGCACTGAGGTAACTGATACTGATTATTGCAACTCTGTACACTGTGCCTTAATGACTCAGACTAAATTGTACAAATTATTAGCTATTATTAGCCACTGATACTGGCATCAGAACCATGGGTCATGTACAAATTCAAGAATTTCTTACTCAACCTAGACTTCTTATGAATAGAACATATACACATGTAAGATGTCTTGTGGGCCTTCTGTATTTGCAAATGAAATTAATCGTGATCTTGCAGAAATAAACTATTCGGCTTCATAAGATTGCCCAGCTCCCTACTGGGGTTGTCCTCTCATAGTCCAAAGACAAGTTAAGGGAACTGGAAATTTTTTACTTGAATGTGTTTTACTGTGACAGATTTTGACTGTGCAGTGTGTGTACAACCCTTCACATCCAATGCATACTGGGACAGACTTCTTTGACTATGATGAAGATAAACAAAAGTGAAAAAAATTGATGAACTGTGTTTATGCATATTGTAAAGCTGCAGCTGAATAGTGAGCTCCTCACAGTCAGTCAGTAAGAATGTCATACGCATTATTGTAATTGATAGGAAACAAGTTCAATATTTTCACTTCTCCCTTACAAGTTCACAAACACTTGACTGCTGCAGAGTGCTGTTCTGTCAAAGACTAGGCAGAACCATGATACTCTAACTGTCTGTGGCTATGCAAACCTGCTGCACAACTGACCGGCTGCAAAAAACAACATTGTTTTATATATACAATTTATCTGTGGTAATTCACCTATTTCAGTAGGGTGCTGGTCCCATGGTTTATTGACTGATAATTATTGGCAAGCGCACAAAATACTTTGTCACTTTACATTCACAGTAAAGTGACAAGAACTAAAGAACAAAGTGTTTGTGCACTCATAGTAAATGAAAATAATGGCAGACCTTATATTATATCTTATAATGATTTTAGAACAGTGGTGGGTAGAGCCCTAAAAACTGTTTCTAGTTACGACCAGTTACCCACAGATAAATTAAGTTAATGTCATTACATCAAAGATTAACGTTACACCTGAAAAATTAATATTGCTACATTTTGACCTACAGTGTGTGCCAGTTCCTTCAATATGCAGACTTTTTAAAAGTGGTCATCTCAATGTTTTTCAGGAGTCACAGCAAGCGATTCATGCAGCTGTTGTCTTTTTTAGATTATTGTATAAAAAGTGTGGCCAGATGGGACCAGGGATTGTCGCTGGAGGCTGCCTCTTGTTCTGGGTTTTGCTCAGTCATCATGGCATTGTGGTATTTTTCACTGTCACCACGATCATGTGTTGATTAGAAGACATGTATTTTTTTATTGCATTACACTGCTGACTAAGATCAGTTGTAGTCCATTTTATTTCAATTGCAATAATGGAGGATGAAATTAAAAAATCCACATAGTGCAAACTTGTTTTCTCATAGCGGTTGTGAGTTTGAATGTTTAATTTAAGAGTTATTAGTGAGCATGGGTAAAGTTCAAGTAGTTACTTTACACTTGGATATGTGAGTTCTCTCTGTATTAAAGCCACCCCTCTACATATGAGCCTACAGCAGGGAATACCCTCACAGTTCAGGTTACAATATATAAAATCAGTAAACTCAATATCACTTCATTTGGAGGTAAATGGCATACAAGTTATTATTTAATTGAAGTAGTTTAATTGATTCATATATTTGACAAACTTGAGCACACTCTCTTAAAACAGTCTACAGGTGCGTATGCATTTCAATTTTACATGTAAGCCCCCAGAATACACTGTATTCTTAAATATATGAACTCAGACAGAAACCTGTGTTGTCTTTGTTGATGCTTTATTGGCTGATTTTGTAACTAACAAGATAGAAGCAGAAAAAGGGGTGAATTTCTTACAAACACATTTTGAGAAATTGAGAACAAGTCAAAAAAGAAAGATGACAGTAACAGTGTGAAAGATGGCAATAACTACAAGCAAGATTATCATGAAATCATATCCTTATTCTAGCTGGAGTGAACCTGACTGACTGATTGATTGCTCATACTCTCCAAGAAGGACCCCATTTCTGGTGTGGAAGACTTTGGCCAAAGAGGGACTCATGGGGGTTGGTATGTATTCCTGACACTGGTTACCACCAAGACTCGGTGCGCACTCCACTATGTAGGAGAAGAAAAAGGTACCGTAATCAAACATGCAACTGTCTGTCACCTTCCCACTACGCAGAGCAAATGAACACTGGCCAAGTAGATCACTGTTCCAGTAAGAATCCTCATCATAAACCCTGAACGTAAGTCTGTTTTTCATGTTGATGGTTATGGATCCAAATTCAAATGTCTCCGGCCAACTAGGATTGTCATTGTCTGATATAATGGCAGTGCGCTTATTCTGATCACCATATGTCACCTCAACTGAGCCATCTGTCTGAGTCCACTTATCACCATACAGACCCTCTGCATACAGCTTGTAGACCTTTAACGTTGCAAGACCTCTCCCAGCAGGACAGCAGTTGGACTTGATGTTCTGATTACTGTTGCAAACACAAGCACAAGGATCCCTTCTGTTGGATCTGTGTCCAATCTTACAGCTTTCTGAGCATTTTGTCAACACTGCATTTTTCTTGATGTACTTCTCCACCTCTTGCTTCAGTCCGGCGCTGGCAGGGTGACCACTTGGCAGTATGGTGTGCAGGGGCTTTAGGTTGTATCGGACCACATCGGGTATGTTTTTCAGTGAGTCAAGCCAGATGTTATAGACGGAGGGATCTGATTGCCCTTCAAAGAGGATATCAGCGCCGTTGATATTACCACCAATTACCTCTGTACTACGCTCATTAAATGCACTGCTGAAACTTTGGTTGGAGTCTAACTTCTTCTTCTGTTCCTGACAGTGTTTATATGTGGCATTAATGCTGGCAGTACTTGCAAAGCTAGCAGAAGCCTCGACTGACAAACAGTCACTGACCTCTGTTGCCGACAGTCCATTCATAGATGCCTGGCAGGTCTTGATTGAAGTGATTGCTTTTATTTCTCCTCCCAGAGAGACCTGTGTGATGTAATGTGTACCATATGTGTCGACCAGACTGCGATATAATTGCTCTGCTTTTTGGGAATAGGAAGGAAGGGAGTTCACAGCTGATGCAAACTCATGACTCAGTGGAGGTCTTGTGGCCAGCCTATAGCTGTGAAGCACAGAAGTATACAGATAAATTACTGTCTATCACATTCACATTTTATTCACATGTTACTGTATGTGTTGTTTTTTTTTTTATCATAACTGCTGTCATTATTTGCCAACACTGTCAACCAAAGCATTTTTCAGTGAACAGACCAAATAAATAATTCATCCAAATTTAAGAAAAGAAAGACAAGTATCTGTCCACATACTCACCGGTAGAAGCTACAGAAGACAGAATGTCGAAAGAAGTTGTAGCGGTCTTGTTTTGACTTTTGCATGCCAAAGGTAGAATCTCTGGAGTGGGAACCTCCTAAGCCAACCCCAACAGTGACAGAAGGGTCTACAGGGATTTCAAGGCCGATTTTCCAATTGTTGGACACAGATGATGTGGAGTCATTGACAAGAGTTTCAACAGAATCGTAGACTGTACTGGAGACCTTTAAACTGCACTTGGGGAGGATTCTCCAGTCCACCACAGCAACTGGGACTTTCTGGCTCTCTCCATTCATGTAGCGGTTTCTGTACAGCCTGCAAGTGTCATTGCCAAGCTTCCATGTTTCAGTGTCGATGACATAGGCACCTTTCCGCTCCATTGTGACGATGTCGAATCCCTCTCCACCCAGATTGTAACCAGGGACAAAGTGGGCCTTTGCACACTCCTGAGGTGTACCAATGAAGCTCACACTGGATGGCAGACACTGAGGACTCCATGCCCAACACAGGAGCATGAGCTGCCACAGCCTTGCCATCTGCATGAAATTGTTAAACAACAAGAGAATGAGAAATGGCATGGACACACAATCAGTTAAACTATGCAGACTTTGAATGTAAAATGTAAAAAAAAATCTTATGCCAAAAAAAAGATTACTCAACTCAAACAATTAGTTTCAGATAGACAACCCTAAGATAAGTAAGGGGTATTACCGTGACTGTTGACAGCAGCTTCTGTTCAGTAACTTACAATATCTGACCCATGTTATAGTGTTGATATGGAGGTGGAGTCTTTCTTGCCTCTGTGATTCCCACGTTTTATATTTAACCATCTGCATTTAAGCCATTGTGTTATACATACTGTAAAAATGTGTGACATTTGTACTTTCACACCTTGCTAAGATGAGAAAGAGATGGAACTTAAATGGCCACATGGCAAAACTGGTATTTTGTGGTATCATCTTAAATAGTTACAGAAAGAAAATAAAAATAATTTAAAATATAGAATGAAAGTAAAAAAAAAACAAACTTACAAGGCACAAGGATAGCTTCAGTAGAAATAAATAAGAATAATAAAAATACATGATTAGGTGTATATCTTAACTTGCAAAAAAACAAAAACTATTCAGAACAGTTGGACTCAAAACGCAAAATTAAAGGCAATAGCCTTAATAATAGAGTATCCACAACTAGTGTTGTACTTGAGCTAATAGTGCAACACCATCTCAGGCAAATTGACATAGTGGTATTATTAGTAATAGAAAAGTCAGCAAAGAATAGTAAATGTAAGAGTAATATGGTACTGTCAGCTATAACAGTGTACACAAATACATATATTAATGAGCAAGGAAATGTATGTATCAATAAAGTTTGCAGTCCCTTAGTGCTACACACAAAAGATAATACAATTTAGTTGAATAAAGTAAATTAAAACAATATATACAGTTCTTTATATACACATATACATCCAGGAAATCATTCTGCAGTGCATCTTTTCAATTTGCAATTGGTGGAATGTTTGCAATTTTTGGGAATTATTTTATTGTCTTTATGATCACCACATCATCAACACATTTGCTGATGTATGATCTCATTGTTGCTATACAGGAGAAGCTGAGTCAGTTCCTATACACAGTGGTAATTTATAAACACACAACATTTAGTCCATTCTGTTTCATAAGGGGGATCTGCGGCTTAAATTTAGTCAAATGTAGCTTTTCTTTGACTATATTATAAGTAGGGCTTTGTATTGGCAAGAATCTGGCGATATGGTACATATTATGACGCAGGGGTTCCCGTTCAATATATTGTAATATATCATGATACTTTAAGCAAGGAGATATATTGCATTTTTTTCTGTAATTATAATTTTAGTGTGATCTGCATCTGTATCTACCACACTTCCTGTAAGATCCAGTGTCATAGCCCTCAATTTACATAAACAACACTGCTAAATAGCATTTGGGGGTCTAAACAATAAATCAAGTGTTTTGGGATATTTTCTTAAAACCTAATTATAAGCAGTGTTTAGTTTCATGATAATTTATGACATCTTCCCATGAGCTTTCACGGCTCATCCTCTGCTTTGTTTCTACCCTGCTGCATTGCAGAAATATAGTTACCAATGAAGATTAAAAGACACAAAGTCACTGCAATTTAAATTGTGATATTACTGCTATAGGTTGATGCAGCACAATAACTCCATTCTCTCTTTGTATTTGATGATGATGCACTGTCTAATTGATGTTAATTCAGTAATTAGCCTCACTTAGTGTTAAGGTAACTGGCTAGCCTGGCTTGCTTTCTCTGTGATACTGTGAACAGTTGTCACAGTATCACAGCAACTATACTAATGTCATACTCGAAATGCTTTTGGTTGGTGCCTATCCGCAATGTTCACAATAACCACTTGCTTGTTGCATGCTACAACTGTGACAACAGCTCTGATCACCACTTTTATGACACACACATGCAAAAACAAAGAAATTGTCCGCCCTTGTCCATGTATCAGCCCGACTCTTTAAACCCCCCTTTTATTAAAATGTGTTTCTCTTCCCTTATTTGAGGTTTCAGTTCCTCACACTTATTTTATGAGTCCGGCAGTTGTCACATGCATTTCTTTTAGATACAGCAATGTCACCATGATAATGTGTTGACTAGAATGCATTTTTTTTATTTGAATTGGTTAATAAATTTAACGAACTTGAGCAGGCTCTCATCAAAGGTTTGGGCAGTCTTAAAATGGAGCGAAGCCTGCAAGCTAGTTCAGGCAGTCAACTCAAGCTGCACTGCTATACACACGACATGCCTCACATTCTCTAATTATTAATCAAGCACACCCTTCCAATCTTGCGGTCTATTTAAGCTGCAAAATTACACAGCTCTCCCTCTGCTCTATCAATGCCGCTGCTGCCCTGCATCAGTATTGCAGCCTGCTGCGCTGTAAACTATTGCTGCCTGCTGCGCTGTAAGCCCCAACACCACCCCAGCATCCACCTGTAGGCTCCGACTGGGGGTTTAAGGTATTTGCTCATCACTCCCCAATATCTCTACGTAAACATATCTGCGGGGAGTGATGAGGTAGGAGCCTAGAAGCCAAAATCTAAATATGCTATACTGCTGTAATAAACATTTCAAACATGAGTTGTCTGACTGAAGTGCATCTATAATTATGTATTTCAATATTATCCCCAAAATACACAGTATTTTTTAATATATATATTTGAAAAAGGTGCGTATGCATTTCACTTTTACATGTAAGCCGCCAAAATACACTGTACACAATACATGAACTCAGACAGAAACCTGTGTTGTCTTTGTTGATGCTTTATTGGCAGATTCTGTAACTAACAACATTGAAGCAGAAAAAAAGGTGAATTTCTTACAAATACATTTTGAGAAATTGAGAACAAGTCAAAAAAGGAAGACGAGAGTAACAGTGTGAAAGATGGCAATAACTAAAAGCAAGATTATCATGAAATCATATCCTTATTCTAGCTGGAGTGAACCTGACTGACTGATTGATTGCTCATACTCTCCAAGAAGGACCCCATTTCTGGTGTAGAAGACCTTGGCCAAAGAAGGACTCATGGGGGTTGGTATGTACTCCTGACACTGGTTACCACCAAGACTCGGTGCGCACTCTACTATGTAGGAGAAGAAAAAGGTACCGTAATCAAACATGCAACTGTCTGTCACCTTCCCACTACGCAGAGAAAATGAACACTGGCCAAGTAGATCACTGTTCCAGTAAGAATCCTCATCATAAACCCTGAACCTAAGTTTGTTTTTCATGTTGATGGTTATGGATCCAAATTCAAATGTCTCCCCCATCTAGGATTGTCATTGTTACTAATGATAATAGTGCGCTTATTCTGATCACCATATGTCACCTCAACTGAACCATCTGTGCGACCCCACTTATCACCATACAGACCCTTTGCATACAGCTTGTAGACCTTTAACGTTGCAAGACCTTTCCCAGCAGGACAGCAGTTGGACTTGATGTTCTGATTACTGTTGCAAACACAAGCACAAGGATCCCTTCTGTTGGATCTGTGTCCAATCTTACAGCTTTCTGAGCATTTTGTCAACACTGCATTTTTCTTGATGTACTTCTCCACCTCTTGCTTCAGTCCGGCGCTGGCAGGGTGACCACTTGGCAGTATGGTGTGCAAGGGCTTTATGTTGTATCGGACCACATCGGGTATGTTTTTCAGTGAGTCAAGCCAGATGTTATAGACGGAGGGGTCTGATTGCCCTTTAAAGAGGATATCAGCGCCGTTGATATTACCACCAATTACCTCTGTGCTACGCTCATTAAATGTACTGCTGAAACTTTGGTTGGAGCCTAACTTCTTCTTCTTTGCCTGACAGTGTTCATACTCGGCCTTAATGCTGGCAGTACTTGCAAAGCTAGCAGAGGCCTCGACTGACAAACAGTCACTGACCTCTGTTGCCGACAGTCCATTCATAGATGCCTGGCAGGTCTTGATTGAAGTGATTGCTTTTATTTCTCCTCCCAGAGAGACCTGTGTGATGTAATGTGTACCATATGTGTCGACCAGACTGCGATATAATTGCTCTGTTTTTTGGGAATAGGAAGGAAGGGAGTTCACAGCTGATTCAAACTCATGACTCAGTGGAGGTCTTGTGGCCAGCCTGTAGCTGTGAAGCACAGAAGTATACAGATAAATTACTGTCTATCACATTCACATTTTATTCACATGTTACTGTATGTGTTGTTTTTTTTTATCATAACTGCTGTCATTATTTGCCAACACTGTCAACCAAAGCATTTTTCAGTGAACCGACCAAATAAATAATTATCCAAATTTAGGAAAAGAAAGACAAATATTTCTCCACATACTCACCGGTAGAAGCTACAGAAGATAGAATGTCGAAAGAAGTTGTAGCGGTCTTGTTTTGACTTTTGCATGCCAAAGGTAGAATCTCTGGAGTGGGAACCTCCTAAGCCAACCCCAACAGTGACAGAAGGGTCTACAGGGATTTCAAGGCCGATTTTCCAATTGTTGGACACAGATGATGTGGAGTCATTGACAAGAGTTTCGACAGAATCGTAGACTGTACTGGAGACCTTTAAACTGCACTTGGGGAGGATTCTCCAGTCCACCACAGCAACTGGGACTTTCTGGCTCTCTCCATTCATGTAGCGGTTTCTGTACAGCCTGCAAGTGTCATTGCCAAGCTTCCATGTTTCAGTGTCGATGACATAGGCACCTTTCCGCTCCATTGTGACGATGTCGAATCCCTCTCCACCCAGATTGTAACCAGGGACAAAGTGGGCCTTTGCACACTCCTGCGGTGTACCAATGAAGCTCACACTGGATGGCAGACACAGAGGACTCCATGCCCAACACAGGAGCATGAGCTGCCACAGCCTTGCCATCTGTATGAAATTGTTAAACAACAAGAGAATGAGAAATGGCATGGACACACAATCAGTGTGTCCTTGCCATGTGTCTATGCAAACTTTGAATGTAAAATGTAAAAAAAAATCTTATGCCAAAAAAAAGATTACTCAACTCAAACAATTAGTTTCAGATAGACAACCCTAAGATAAGTAAGGGGTCTTACCGTGACTGTTGACAGCAGCTTCTGTTCAGTAACTTACAATATCTGACCCATGTTATAGTGTTGATATGGAGGTGGAGTCTTTATTGCCTCTGTGATTCTCACGTTTTATATTTAACCATCTGCATTTAAGTCATTGTGTTATACACACTGTAAAAATGTGTGACATTTGTAAAACTCAAAACATGGTGCAACACCATCTCAAGCAAAGTGAAATAATGGGATGATTAGTAGCAAAAAAGTCAGCAAAGAATAGTAAATGTAAGAGTGACATGGTACTGTCAGCTATCAACAGTGTACACCCGAATATATCAAGGAATCAAGGAAATGGCTTAATCATTATGCAACACAAGATTGTTCAACAAAATTAAAGTTTGCTGTCTCTTCATCTTCATCAACACATAAGATAATATAATTTATAGTAGAATAAAATGAAATAAAACAATATATACAGCTCTTTATATACACGTATACACCCAGGAAATAATTTTGCAGTGCATCTTTTCAATTTGCTCGGAAACAAGGCCTACGTGGAAAATGTTTTCAGTGTTTTTTAAAGGGGAAAATTACTTATAAAATTTTTTTTTATAAAAAATACTTTTCTTGTTTTACACTATCTCTAAAGGTTGTTGATGAAACTATCTAACTAACACTAATTTATTGTGCTTGAACGTACCACATCACCTTCAGTGTCACACTCTCACGCTGTTACGCCCCTTCACGTTACCCTCTCTTGCATTCCAAAGACGAATGCCACTCCAAAACACAGCAACAGAATTCCAGACAGCAGGTTTAGTGAAAACTCTGAGATGAGGGAGACTCATACAAAATATATGCATGTATATTTAAATTATTTTGTAGTGTATATTTGCTGCTATAGTTCAACCTAGTTAATTTTGTTATATTCCTCATTACAGGGGCTAATCACCCAGTCATTGTCCAAGCCAGAGACAGGCTTGATGTACATCTAACGAGGGCAATGACCAGTACAGACGGATGGTGGACAGACCATCGTCAAATCTGCTCAACTACGGCTATCAGACTAATGCCGAAAAGAAGAGGGAAGAGAAAGCATTTCTAAATAGCAGAGACACCACAGGAGCTCCTCCAAGCTGCACTATGTGACAGACTGCCAACAAAGTACCCCGATGATGTGGAGAAATGTTGGCAAAGAGAAGCGTTAGAAGAGTTTTGAAAAAGTGAACTCGGTATAGAGAAATGTGGGTTAGCAATTAAAATAAATTTAAAACAAGACCCCGAATCTACAAACTGAAACAAAATGTCCATGAATAGGTGTGCATTAGAGCAGAAATGTAAGCCAAAACAAGTCAAACACAAGACTCTAAAGAGCGACTGTGAAGGTCAACAAAACTGATCTTTTGTGGACTAAAGTTAGATTCACAAAACTGAGCCAGCCAGCCTCGAACATAAGAGGAGGACAAGAGTAACTCAGCATTTGTCTTACTTACATGCAGGCTAGGTAGCCATCAGTACATCTACAAATCATCAAGGTTTTGGGAGTTGGGAGAGCATAACCCCAAAGGCCGGCAAGCTGATATACTAATCTGACTGTTGATGGTCAAGAAATGTGGTCAGGAAGACAGAAAATCTTTATTGTGCAGATAGTAATGGTGAGAATGTTTGCGAGTGTGGACAGGAGCGGAACACAGACATAGCGGGAGCAGGCGGTAATAGTCAGAAATCCACTGGGAGCAAGCAGAAGCAAGATTAAGAAAACAGTGGGACTGTGTACAGCACACCCCCAGGCATGCAGCCCCCTGCATTGTTTTAACTCTGGGCTGATTTTAGTCTAAATGCTTGCTTAGTATTGGTAAAACACAGAGAATAGAATACAAACTGTGCATACAAAACTGGGCTGAGGCAACAAGCATGGGTTCAGCCAAGACTAGAGCCTAAGAAAAACGAAGAAAAAGAAGAACTGTGGTCAGGCAGCAACAGATTTCTATCAGGTTTAATAGTGTTCACTTTGTACAACTTCCCTTTATTGGTGCAAATGTAGTGTGTGTGTGTGTGTGTGTGTGTGTGTGTGTGTGTGTGTGTGTGTGTGTGTGTGTGTGTGTGTCGTGTGTGTGTGTGTGTGTGTGTGTGTGTGTGTGTGTGTACATATAAATATATTAGGGCTAGGCAAGTTAACACGTTATTATCACCTTAACGCATTAATTAATTAACGCCGACAATTATTTTACCTCGCATTAACACAGTTTTTTTACTATGATTATTATTTTGAAAGTCTGTTGCTCACTGGCTCTGTATACACATACAGACAAACCATGGGTCACAGGAGGGGAATGGAGGGAGGCTTTGGCAGACTAAGTTGGATGCAGCGTGTGGGAGAAGTAAAGATAAACAAAAGCAAGACAAGCTAACAAATGCCACAGCGAAGTGGATAGCTTCAAACTGCAGGCCGATTAGTATTTTGGAAAATAGAATCTATAGAATGAAGGACGGCACGTATGAGCCTCCCTCAAGACGCACCATCACAAGAAGAATGCACCACTTGTATGAAAAGGAGAGGACTACAAGCGACCGCGTTACAACATGCACCAACTGTTGCTCTCACTGGAGACTACTGGGTAACCATAGTTACCTCAGAGTTACAGTGCGTTATATTGCTGGACAGCGGGAGCTGCATTCACATGCTCTGACTGTAATAAAAACAGAGGAGAGACACCTGCTTGCACAGTAGTGGAACGTTTCAAATAAGCACACAAGATAGAAGCAGAAAAAAGGCAAATTTCTCACAAACACATCCGGATCAAATTTGAGAAATTGAGAATAACAAATTCAAATTATTTTTGGAAACAAAAGTCAAACAAAGAAAGATGAGAGTAACAGTGTGGAAGATGGCAATAACTACAAGCAAGATTATCATGAAATCATATCCTTATTCTAGCTGGACTGAACCTGACTGACTGATTGATTGCTCATACTCTCCAAGAAGGACCCCATTTCTGGTGTAGAAGACCTTGGCCAAAGAAGGACTCATGGGGGTTGGTATGTACTCCTGACACTGGTTACCACCAAGACTCGGTGCACACTCCACTATGTAGGAGAAGAAAAAGGTACCGTAATCAAACATGCAACTGTCTGTCACCATCCCACTATGCAGAGCAAATGAACACTGGCCAAGTAGATCACTGTTCCAGTAAGAATCCTCATCATAAACCCTGAACGTAAGTTTGTTTTTCATGTTGATGGTTATGGATCCAAATTCAAATATCTCCGGCCAACTAGGATTGTCATTGTCTGATATAATGGCAGTGCGCTTATTCTGATCACCATATGTCACCTCAACTGAGCCATCTGTCTTATCCCACCGGTCACCATACAGACCCTTTGCATACAGGTTGAAGACCTTTAACGTTGCAAGACCTTTCCCAGCAGGACAGCAGTTGGACTTGATGTTCTGATTACTGTTGCAAACACAAGCACAAGGATCCCTTCTGTTGGATCTGTGTCCAATCTTACAGCTTTCTGAGCATTTTGTCAACACTGCATTTTTCTTGATGTACTTCTCCACCTCTTGCTTCAGTCCGGCGCTGGCAGGGTGACCACTTGGCAGTATGGTGTGCAGGGGCTTTATGTCGTATCGGACCACATCGGGTATGTTTTTCAGTGAGTCAAGCCAGATGTTATAGACGGAGGGGTCTGATTGCCCTTCAAAGAGGATATCAGCGTTGTTGATATTACCACCAATTACCTCTGTGCTACGCTCATTAAATGCACTGCTGAAACTTTGGTTGGAGCCTAACTTCTTCTTCTTTGCCTGACAGTGTTCATACATGGCCTTAATGCTGGCAGTACTTGCAAAGCTAGCAGAGGCCTCGACTGACAAACAGTCACTGACCTCTGTTGCTGACAGTCCATTCATAGATGCCTGGCAGGTCTTGATTGAAGTGATTGTTTTTATTTCTCCTCCCAGAGAGACCTGTGTGATGTAATGTGTACCGTATGTGTCGACCAGACTGTGATATAATTGCTCTGCTTTTTGGGAATCAGAAGGAAGGGAGTTCACAGCTGATTCAAACTTATGACTCAGTGGAGGTTCTGTTGCCAGTCTGTACCTGTGAAGCACAGAAGTATACAGAGTAATTACTGCATTGCATTTCTCAGTGAACTGACCACATACATTTAGTTAAGAGTCAAATAAAAACTCATACATTTTGTACTTCCCTTACACCCTATTTAGGTGAGAGATAAGATTCAACTTAAATAGCCACATGGGGAAACTGGCATGTTGTGGTAACATCTTAACATGTTGCAGAAAGTTAATAAAAAACATTGTTAAGATATTGATGTATAGATACATTTTCGCCAAAATCAGCTACAAACAATGTTTAAAAAGCACATTGTTTTACAGAGATTTGAGTGGATTTTTTTCATTTTTAAGTTATTTCTGTAAAAGCATTTGATTGTAATGTACCTTCCAAATCTGATATATTCCCATGTCAATTGTTGTGGTATGCTGTTGTGAATGTGTTGAAAAGTGCTTCCTAGAGATACTGCATGCTTTCAAGAGCTCAAACCCATGTTCCCCCAGTCCCAGCCCTCCAACATGCCATGCCCTCCATTCAGTCAGATGACTCCCGATTAAGCATGTCCAGGCCCCTGCAGGATCTTTTGCCTCCAATTACATGAGACCTGGCTTTGCCAAAAGTGAAATGTATTATTTTTTTAATCCCACTATCTTCAAATGCAAAGTATCAAAACTATATCATAGTGTGTCCAGACAATGCTAAAAGACTTCTTCTTTCACTGGTTCATAATAAATTGGTGTTAAGGTTAAGCAAAGGTTGTGGTGAATATACATCTAGATCTCTCATGTTTAATCCTCAGCATGTTCTCCCCTTCTCTGATGACACCATTCCATTCACTCCCTAAGAATTGGCAGCTCTCCATCTGCCTATCAACACTAAACTTGTATAGCACCAATTCATAACAAAAGTTATCTCAGGACACTTTTCAAATAGAGCAGGTGTAGACCACTATAGGTCAGTCTACGTCACTAGTCATCCTCTGCCTACTGACGCTATGTCAGGCTCCACAAGAAGGAAATCTTAAGCGTGCAAAAGCTCATGAGCTCCTGCTCCCCTTAATGCATTTAAATATTTGTATCTGCTGCCTAATTATATATTTGCATGTCAGGTGGTTGCTGGGTTTAGAGTATTTATGTGTTTGCTTATATGTCAAATGTTGTTGCATGAACATTGAACCAAGACTGTACTGATCCATCCAACTTCAAAACCCACCTTTTCAGAACAGCTTTCGATGATTGATTCATTGTTAAGTGTTGTAGATATAGCTATGATTTTTATGTGTGTTGTTTTTATTACCTTTTTCTTTTACTTTTTAACTTCTGTGAAGTGTCTTTGAGTTTCTTGAAAAGCGCTCTATAAATTAAATGTATTATTATTATTATTAATATTATGAGGTCCTTGTTTCATTAAGTAGTATATTCCCTCATGGCCTGAGGTGCTCACTGTTAATGTTTAATGTTTATTAAGAGGAGAGAGAGAGATAAAACTTAAATGGCCACATAGCAAAACTGGTGTTTTGTGAAATTATGTTAACAAGTACAAATATAGCTAGAGAAGAAAAGTTAAAAATAAACTTACAAGGCACAAGCATAGTTTAAGTTCAGATAAAGAAAAGAAAAGAAAATACATGATTCAAGTGTATAAAATAATATGAAAGTAGAAGGAAATCACTCAAAATGCAAAATGACAAGAGGTGCTCATAGGGAAGGGCCACACGAGAGCTGGTGCTGAGGCCCGCACATAGAAGATCCATCCACCAGTAGTGTCAGGCTCCAGCCTGTGTGGTTTTGGGGGGTTTAAGGTATTTGCACATCCCTCACCAATATCTCTATGTGAACATATCATATGAGATCGGAGGTCAGTCGTCTTCAAATTACTACGCTTTCCATCCAGTTGTTTTATTTAAGGATGCTGCTATTGCTATTATCTGCAGCCTTCCTGTGATAGTAGGAGAGGCAAAGTTAACTGACAGTGGAATAAGTTGATATTTTACCATTTTGAGGGGATTTTTAGCCATTTTAGCAATAGACTCTACATTGCAATGTCTCACAGTCGCTTAGACCACAACTTAGGTACCTGTTAAAAATCTCTATGAAAAAGAATGCCATAAAATTTCCACAGAAGATGAATCCTTATGACTGTTCCTCCAGTGCCACCAGGAAGTTGACATTTTTGTTTTTGTGTGAGATGTCCTGCTTTAAATAAAAAGTTAAAAAAAAAATAATTTCTGTTATGATGCGGTGCTCTATGAATAAAATGTAATTCGAAATTGATTTAAAATATCCTGCTAAAGTAGTTACCTCCAAGACCACATTTTGCCATACACACACACAGACTCACAAGGTAAAAATTGACCTGATGTCTTGGGATACAGTGATTCAGGATGCAAAACAAACGTGGGCCCTTTCCTACTCCCTATCCCCCCTTTTCAAGCACCCTTGCATGGACCACACCCATCTTCAAACTCAGCCTTCATTTTTATCTCAACTACACACCTGTAGAGTTTTGTGATGGCATTTTGCACCGTTGTGACGCTATTGAGTTGACAAAACCTGTCCACAGACATATAAACACGAGCCAGAGTACTCAAAACTGCCAGCACCATATTTTGACACATGTGCACACAGCCCTGCTGTCACGGCTGGTAAAGATATATTGTCAGGTTGGGGAGCAAATGCCACGTCTCAGCCATGCCTTGATTCACCTGTCAGGCCTACTCTCATTATCTAATAGGTCTTCCTCACTCATCCATTCCCTGAACAGACCTTCTACACATTGATTCATACTCTCTACCCTCCTCTCATCCTCCTTCCCTCATTTACTTATGTGGGTACCTCTCCAATATCTCCTCTCTTTTCTAGGTACCGTAATGGGCTACAGTAGATCTGGCTAATACAGTGCAACACAAGGCTGTAAAACAACAGTTCATTCAGTAGTTCCTTCATGCTATACACATATAAAAAGATAATCCAATTTATAGAGTAACAGATAGATAATAAATATTCATATAAAGAGATACATGCATGTATATAACCAGGAAATAATTCTACAGTGCATTCTTTTCATTTGCGTATGGGGGGATGCACAGCAGCAACAACTAATATGCATACAAGACTTCCTGTGTCACACCATACACTGTGCTCTCTGTTAGTGCTGCAAGTTTGCAGATGCATCCCACCTTAAAACACTGCAAAACAATCTCTATCTCTAAGAAGCAAAATTTATTAAGTTAGTTATACTGAAAATCTGCATCAATTATGACATTTGAACACAATAAGAAGACTGAGTACACATTCTTTATTTTTACGGAGGGATGAGGCTTGCCTTTTCCCCTACCACACCACCCAAAATGTCACATTTGGTCATTGTTTAGTTTTGTTCTTCTGACGTATTTCTCACTGTGTCTCATGTGGTCAAGCTCATTTTCTTTAATGAGGAAGCTTTGGTTTGCTAGATTCATTTTAATTAAGTATCACTCCACAGTATTAAAATACATTATTGTTAGTTAGTATTATGACTGGCATATTAGGAATTTAACTTAAGGCATAATAGTCAAACGCATTCAACCAACTTTATGTTTCCAATCAGGATCCTTTGAGCAACACACAATAATGGGACTCTGAAAAGCTTTATAAATTCCATCATCTTGTCCTTTCCAGTTAAAAACATTTTGCACTGATACACTTTTATCCCCAAGGCCATTTCGCATGTGTCTCCTTTTGATTTGTGTCATTGTTATATGGAATTTAAGCTTGAAGTAAGAAGAAAAGTTGCACAATATATTAAATGCCATGTATGTATTTAAATAACTCAGTTCCAGTGGATGCGTGAGTTTAAGAGACTACACCATTAATGATGTACATGTGGGATTGTGGGGTGAATATGGATGTATTACAACTGTGAATTCAGAACAGTGACAGTCATCTTAAGAGATGCACACAAGACTTCCTGTTTCACATGATGGAACTGTATGTCAGTGCTGCAAGTTTGCAGATGCATCCCACCTCAAAACACAACAGAACACTCTCTAAAAAGTATATATTGACTGATGTGTGGAATAATCACACCCAAAAAAATCACATATGTACAGTTGCTTCATATCAGATTAATCATAGCATTCTGGCAGCATGATAAGAAATAAATCCTCCATTTACAAATGAATGTCCTGCTAAAACACATTAACCAAAATGTCACACATTTGGTCTTTTATCGCTCTCATCTGATGTGTTTCACACTTTGTCATGTGTGGTCGAACTCTTTCACTGAAATGAGGAAGTGTAATTTTCCAGTTAATGTTTTATTTGTTTGTCATTTACTTGCTGTGGCTAAGCAACACTCTGAACTTTAACTCGATTAAAACTACAATTATTATTATTGTTATGAAGGTTAAAAGCTTTAATTATGTAACTTGCTTTCAGTGGCATATTAATAAATCCACTTAAAGTACTTTTTAATAGACAAACTTTGTAATAAATCAGGCCCCCTTAAGTAACAATGAGAGGCTGACAAATAATACAAGGGCAGTCTTAGAAAATAAATGAGTGGAAAAAATGACTGCAAACCTTTATGTGTCAAGGTTAGACTCATCAGTTTCTTTGCAAAGATCAAACTGCATGTGCTTCATTGGTATTTCTGTCAAAGTTCCTTTATTGCAATTACATTTTTTTATTCCATTTGTGAAATTGATCATTTGACTGCTGTATTTTATTGCATTATACATCTGTTGGTATTATTATTCACTTTTATAACGTTAGTAATTATGAAAGGTTACACAATATAATACAGAGAGCAACTAAGTATTCAAAGAAAAATAAGTAAATGTGTTAAAACCCTAAGAACTATAGCAGCTCTTTTAACACAGGAAGTTTTAATGCAATTGTAAAAAGACATCTAGCCTGTATTCCTAGTGAGTTTTGAATTTTAATGCACTGATTGTGAATAACTTCGGACAACTGTGTCTGCCAAATAAATGTAATGAAGTTAAGAGTTAAGTTTTTGATGTCTGTGAATGTGTATGTATATATAAGACCTGACTAGACATTTAGTAGCCATCACAGGCTGACATTGGTTTATGCTCCAGTGGGCTGAAATTACATTAACAGCTACTGGCAGTTGATTTTTGATTGACTGATTTGAAAAATAAAATACAGTTGCAGTGATCTAACATTTGATGGCATCACAAAATTACAGATTATAGATTATTATACAACTTGACCTTAAACTAAATATTCTGTCTTCTCCCCCAAGCTTGGCACAAAACTTTCACTACAGGAAAATCTCCCTTCTGGGAGCACAATGCAAGTTTGGCATAAACATCACTCCAAAAGAAATCATCATTAATGGAGGACATTTTACTGAAGTATATGTAAATATCATCCTAAGTACTTTACTGTGAGAGATTATTTAAAAAAAACATACGATCAGATTATTTCAGGCCTAGTGTTAGTGATCACCACAGCAACAAACAAAGTTAAAATAAAGTTTCATTAAGGAAATATTCTCAAATGATTTCCCCATTAAAACACCCTTGGATAAAAATCTTTTAGGTATTCCAAAATGATAGCTACTACAATTGTTAACAGGCAGCAGTTATATGTGTAATATACATATTACACAAACTAGTCACAGAGAATGTGTATTTGTCTACATTATGATGAAGATCTTTGTCAGTATTGGAAGCTGGTGGGTACTTTATATGCTATGAGTAAAGAGGTGCTAGTAATTAGTACAGTCAAAGGTTTCCTTCCCTGCATCTGTGTTCATAACATGAAGATGTCCACCCTCTGCTGCTGCCCAACCAGTACTACAAGCAGCCCTCCATCTCTGCTTAAATTTTCTGGGAACCAGTGTCAGCCCGTGGCATAGGCAGTAGTTGTAAAGATTAGATCTATTCAGCAGGTGTTTCCTTTTGTCTACATTTTTATTTGTATTTATTATCGGTCAGCTAACGTTTGCTCTGCTTGTAACAGTCAGTCAAATGCAATTCCTTTCACACACCTTTATATATTAGAGTTGTAAGCCTTATTGTTTGTTGTGTTATAGTTCAGTATTGTCTAAAGTGTGTTTATAGTGTTAAACTTTACATCCATGTTAAAGTGCACATCATTAATGTTAATACATTCCCATATGTTATATTATACTGCAATTTACTGCTTCTTTGCATTCTGCTCATCAGCATTTCACTGTAATGACAATAAGATTAAATCTAATCTAATTTGCATATCCGAAAAAATTGCAGTGTATATCATTCATGTACACTACAGTGTATCTCTTAGGTTTTTCCATTTTATTATTTAATTTTATTCTTGGAATCATTTCTTTTATTATTAGACTGTAACACCCAACGGTGTCACTTACTCCTCTTCTCTCTTCAGATGCGCTGTTGAAATATCTAAATCCACCTCCTGCAAATCGTGGGCCATCTACAGTCATCGCCACTTCAACAGTATCAAGTGATCCTCCTGTCCTGTCATTTCTTGTATTATTAAGTTTAATTTATTATTTTCTTGTTAACTGTTTTGATTGAGCAACTTGTTTCTCTAAAAAATAAAATAAAATGTCAAAGACAAGCTATTCGGTTTCTTTCGTGAGTATATGTATGTATATAACTGGCAGTAGAATTTACTGCGATGTAAGGGGGACGCCCCCTAAAATCTTGCCTAGGGCGCCAAATTGGTTAGGGCCAGCCTGCTGGGAACTCTGACAAGTTGCAAATCATATGGTTACCACAGAGGTGCACTAGTTTCATGCCCAATTATCTAGAAATGTAAGCATGTCATAACAGCTATTTCACATAAATATTTAGTTCCAGCTAATATCTAAGCTAGTGATATAGAAACTGTGTTTCTTTGGGAAAGAATTATGAAATCATTATCAATATTTATATAAATATGTTTGGGGAAAAAATCAACCAATTAAGTGACAGGGTTGCTGTTTTTGACATTTCTGCTGTATTTGTGACAGCGATAGCTGGGGAGAGACAGGAAGGGCAGGGGGGAGAGAGGGGGATGACATGCAGCAAAGGGCCTCAGGCTGGAAGTTACAAAGTGTTTCACAAACACACAAAGAACGAGGAGGTCACAGTTACGCAGACATGACCTTGCCCACAGTTACACTCCATGTTAGTCCACACCATCATCAATTGCCTGGTTACATCTTAACTTTTGTGGATACAAGCCCCAAATATACACCTCACAGCCATCACTGCTGTGTAGTAGCAGGTTACCACTGTTTATCAGCTATCGTCTGTCTTTGTGGAGCGTGTCTTCTCCCTTCTGTCTGTTTTTGAATTTGAGCTTCGTGACACGAGGGAATTGATGTATCCACCATCTATTTATAACACAGAGAGCAGGTGTGCCGATACACAGAGGCAAAGTGATTGGTTGGGATCCTCTGAGGACTCTGTGCTTTTGTAAATACACACACACACACACACACACACAAACACACACACACACACACACACACACACACACACACACACACACACACACACACACACACACACACACACACGGAACATACTTGCATCTCCCCTATGAAAACATTCATGCACACGAACATTCATGTGCACATACATTGATCCTACAAAGGAAACCTTTTTACAGTATAGGCACATGCATGCAAGCACATATGTATACAATGGTATTTCTTTTTCTGTGCTGTGTATGCATGCATACATTCAGACAATAAAAGATTCACTCATTTCTATCCAAGCACTCATTTTGACAACACATTTCCAAGTGCTGTCAAATGAAAAGGGAGACAGGATGCTCTTCACAATATCAGCTTCTTCTCCCCTGAGGGTAGAGCAGATCCACACCCACAACCAGATCCTCTGCAGCACTTGACTCAAATGATCTAGTGCACTCAACAAATCAACAGATCTTGTCCTAACACAAATGCTCCACAGACAGCTTCATATATCATGTAAACAGCTATTCAGACAATTACCTGTGACCATATTTTATGCCTCCAACAGTGCCCAACTACCCACAGTAGTTTATTGCCCCAGAAAAAAAGGAACAGCCTTTTCATGAGAACCAAGGGTGGGGGGAAGGTAGTCTTGTTTGCATATGCTTTATTGTGGTCATTTGCACCTACGTACCTCTAGTGAGACTGAAAGCACGGCTGCAACCTCAAAAAGGAAGTAGGCGAGGCCTATTTTGACAACGACTGTGCTGCAAAATATATTCCAAGAGATATTATTTTGAAGTTTTAGTGTAAACAGGATGAAGCACTGGTGAACAGAACAGAGAGAAGGCATGTGTTTTTGATAAAAATCCAGAACATTCAAAAGAAGATTTTTTTGATGGACTGTACTGGACTAACCTTCAGAAGTCAACATTAGGCAGATATTCTGGTAACAATACTAGCTGGCTGACGAAGCTCTGAATTACAGGATTTAAACACCTGTGAGACAACACCTAGAGCAACCGAGACTGAAATTTGGATATTCTGTCTTCTTGGATATTGGATCACTTAAATTCAACATTGTGACAATGCCTGTGATTGTACTAGAGGCCAGAGACTTCACTAATCCCCTTTCTTTGGTGCGGACATGGGAAGTCTTATCTGGCCTTACCACCTTCAGTCTTGTGGCTGCACAGAAAAATCAATCGGACATCGAACACCTCAGCACATTCAGGATCTTCTGCATGTTTACCTGGTGCTTCTTCTTCATCCTTACACTCTTCATTCACATTCTCAGTGTCATCCAGTTTCACAGCCTCATCCCAATATCCTGGAAGAACTTGACGGTGACAGTGGCAGTCTTAGGTGCACTGATGTGTTTAAGTGCCTCTGTGGTTTTCCCTTGGATCATCATGGATCACAAAAGCGTGTCGGCGTACCCTGTGGCAGCTGCTGTGTTCTCCTGTCTGACCTTCCTGGCCTACTCCTCAGAGTCATATGTTCTTTGCACCCAGGCCCATGAGCAAAGAGGCTATATGGGCAGCATGCCTGGTCTCCTCAAGATACTCCAACTCTGGGGAGGCTGTCAGATGATACCCCTGGCTGTGGTGGCAGTTCGTGAACTGACTGGAATACACCCTTGGCAGCTGTGGGTCTCAGGCATGTCATACAGTGTGTGTGTCCTCATGTCTGTAGTCACACTGGTGGTAATATTAGGAGACTTTGCTGGCCGATGCCTTTTACCTTTCGACAGATTTTTGGCTGGCTTCAGTCTGATTGGGGTGTTGCTCTACATGGTGGCCACAGTGATTTGTTTTACCAAGATACTGCAGCTGAAAGACCCCAGACAAAATGATGACAAAAGAGAACGGGTCATCATGGAAACAGTGGTTTCCAGTATTACACTGTTAGCTTATACAGTGGACCTTGCCTTCTCCATTAAACAGTTGTGTGACAGGAGCCACACATGAAGTAACACATAAAATATATTGCATGTGAAGTTTATCATCTATAGCCATGAAGATTTAGGAGGAAATCACATCTCATCATCATCACCATCATCAAGTGTGTAAAAGTCAAACTGAATGGATATCTCTGCTGTTAACAATTGCTGTGTAATCAAATGATCTGTCTAGACCTCTGAATTGCAAACTTATAAGATCGAAACAAGTTATTCACACATGCTCTTTTCTAATCAACCCTTTGCACATATTTGTAACCACGTTTGACCTTTATTTTGCGATAAACAAACATTTTAATTGTATATGGATGTGTTGTTTAAATGGATATGAAAAGGGTTTTAAAAAAACAATAATCTTGCAGGTCAGATTAGGCTATATTATATTTTTGCCTTACGAGCCGGAAGAAGGGGTATGACTGGCAGTTTGATATCCCTGATGTTGAGCGTACAAAAATGAGGAAACCTGGCACCAAATGGTACATGCTGATAATAAAATAATTTCTGTCTTATCACTAAAAAACATTTCAAGTCTAGTGTTTTCTTTTAGATTATACACTTTAAAGCTGGGATCTGTAGGCTATGTAAGGAGAGACCATGTTTTGGGCCTTCATTTGTTTTTTGGCTGTGAACAACAAAGATAATAGGCTATAACATGAAAATGTATAGAAAGTGCCATTTTTTAAGTAGTATTTGAATGTTGAAGTGGCCCTCCTATGAGGTGAGGTGAGGTGAGAGTGCTGCTTTAAAGCCTGCAAATTAACATGTGCATCTGTTTAAAATCACACGACTGGACTTTAATTTTAGAATATTAGGTATATAAGTGTTTTCCCGCAGCAGGAAATACATTGGTCTCAACAATGTTTTATTGTGAAGGTTTTTAATCAGATAAATCACAATCTTTAACAGTAGTGGTTAATTAAGACTGTTCTTTCAGTTCACATGGACAAGCTGCATTACATTACATCTACTACTGTATGCTACACACTTAAAAATATTACTTTATTTAAAAAAACAGAAAAAGGAAGGAGAAAGTGTTTGATTTCATATGTGCTCATTATCTCGTTTAATTCAAATTAAAGACTGCAGATCTGACAATATTTTCCTCTTTTTGTCTTGTTCTTGTTTGCTGCCTTGATAGGCAGAAAACAGTGGGCAAAATTGTAACAACTTATTTACACTTTACACTGTTTATCTTCTCACATCTGCCTCGTCTGCTCTCTAGGCCTTCAAAGAAGATCTATCGAAAAATCGATCGTCAACCCTCGACAACACCGCAAACCAGTTATGCCGCTGCTCGGTATCGATTACTCTGGCCTTGATCCACTGCTACGTTTTTTTTCTTTAAGGAACTGAATCCAGTTAGTCAGTTGTCAACAGGCTGAGCGAGAAAACGAGCCGTCGATTCAACTTGGTACGTGGAACTCATAACACAGACGTAACCTTACCGTGTTGACAAAAGCTTTTTCACTCGTTTTGGAAGTTCCGTTTTGTTCGGTGTATCCAGTCAAATAATGAAGTCCCCTGGACATGGTAAGCTATCGTTGACTTGTCTCTTTTTGAAACATTCTGCGAGTTGGTGAGAGGACCTCGGCCAGCAGGGACTTACAAACAAACTGCTGATTCAGTTTGTAGCAAGCTAGTTTTTCTTTTCTGTCACTCAGTTTAAGATGAAAGTCACATTTAAGCTAATAAAAGCAGTTAACGTTGTTAGCTTGTTGTCTCACCTGCCTCCGACAGGCTGCTTTCACTAGTTGTTGTTACACGTCTCCATTTAGACAACGTTAGCATGTTAAATAGCCGCTGTAACACCTTCCGACAACATAACACACACTGGAGACACTTCTGATTGTTTGCCATATGGTTAGGTCACAGTACACAAACACTGTACACAAAGACTACCAATGTTACTTATGAGCTGCTCTCTAAGAAGCAGATACTCTCCCTTTTTATATTGTCAGCAGGACACATGATTAGCACCAGCCCTGCAGGTGGCTCGTCGATTTCTTTCACTCACCAGCCAAAAAAACAATGGTGATCTGTATCTGAGTGGCTGGTACAATTTGAATATTTACTAGCCATGTGGCTGGTGGACAAAAAAAGTCAACTTTGAAACCCTGATTATCTGTCTGTATGTTTGTGTTTTTACATCTGTAATGACTTTGTATTTCCCTTGCTTGTGATTCTCTGAAGCCCCACTGAGCACCATGAACATGTGAAACCTGACCCTCCAGTAGGCAGATGCAAGTCCCAGGCTGGATTGAATGGCACTGAGGATACAAGGTAAGCACTTTGCCAGTAAATTTGAACTCATTATTGATCCGTTTCCTGAGCTACAAACGACCTCAGTGAGGGCAAAGTCTAGATGGACAGAGAGAGAAGGGAGAGAGGACGAACAAACAAAGCTCAGGAAACAAGTGAATCAGAGTACGGGTCCTAAAATCCATCTACACAAGCCTTTAGGGAAATAGCAAGTCCATATCAACTCATGTTGCTAACCTGGAGGAACACAGAGAGATGTGTGGGAAACTTAAAAAAAATACTGTGTTTGTCTTATCACATGGGAATGATGTAAAAAGCAGGATTGCTATCTTTGTCAGTCACCTGCTGTCATGCTGGCCCATAAAACATTTGAGAATGGATTGGGTCGATGAGCTCTCAACAAACCTGGCCTCCAGATGACTGACTGTCCAACAGCTTTTAGAAACGCCACAGACTTAAAGAGCTTGTGCTAGATGAGAGACTTGTTTTTTATTCAAACAGTTTATAGGCTATATGAAGGCCAAGGCTTCCCTGTGCAGCGTGGGCCTACAGTTACACTTCAGGGCCAACAAATAAAGGAGGAAATGGAGGATTTAAGTCAATAGCAACAACTGCTCTACAGGTTTCTTTGCACACATGGACCTCAAGATATGTTTAAAATGTTAAATAACTTGATCTGCAGGGTTTGTTTGGCCTCATCCCATTTAACTTGTGTACTTCCAACAGTGGTTGCTTTAGTTTTTCCTCTTTTCGTTGTTAGCATGTAGCTGTTGATCTTGTATAGAAAAACATCGAAGACACATCCAAGATAGCTTGGGGCCAAGTTGTTACGATGATTTATTGATCACAAAATCTGCTGAAGGGATCTTAACCCCTACCCCTTTTTAGTGCTTTTGGGTTTCTGAAATTCCCTTTGTTTCCCTCCTTCCCCTGTAATAATTTATCACATGATCATCTGCAGGTCTCAAGTATATTGCTACACTATTATGGCCTAAACATTGTACTTATACAGTATTCTCTTTGCAATCTTAGTTAAGAAAACCATTTAGTCAAAGATGTACAGTATATGGTGATTTGACTTAGATCTTGATTTGTATAAAATATGAGTAACTAGATCTTGTGTCATTTGAATACACTAGTGTCCATACGGGACATTTTCTTTAACACAGTAACTTACACAACACAATAACTTACATATAAATTTCCCAGCTTGGGATCAATAAAGTATATCTATCTATAAGCTGCATTAGGCTTCCACCCACACGCCACTTGTTGCTGGGATAAATGTATTGTTTTTTGTTGATGAAGGACAAATTCATAGCATTTGTTGATAATAAAAAGATAAAATAATCATTTACCTGACATCTGTCACAGATAAGAAACAGGACCAGTACACAGTGTGTGCTTAGCCGTCATGGTAGAAAGGGTGAGTGACAGAGAAAGGTTTCTGTTTGTTAGAGAAAGGACAAACAAAATCAGGATTTTAACACCAGAAGGAGGTTAGGGAGCAGCAGGTGCAGTGACCTTTCACCAGTGTTATTTTCCTCAAATTGTGTGTCATATAATCTTTCACACTGAAACAAGGAACATGCTGCTTATCATACTCTGTGTAGGAACTGGACTACACCCCTGTTGACTGTACACCTGTTCATAGCTTTGACTCACCTTCCAAGTTCTCACCGGGTCCAACCTATTTTTATAAAACTGAAATTTTCTTCTTTTGCTCAAGGCTCAGTCAAAGTATTGACCAGCTGAGATAAAAAAAAAGAGTTTTAGATGTTAGATTAGATATTGCTTAACAATTATACAATATGTTCCCACTGTGATCTGTTCTTACTTCTGATCCAGACTTACAAGATGAGAAATTTAGGTGTGATAAGTGTTAAGTCTTTTCTTCTGTCATATGCTAACCTTATTGGCTTTTGGCTTTTGGCTTTTAAACATGTCACGGTTTTCAGGCTCCTGACTCGAGCATTTTTTGGATTAAAAAGAATACAACACCGCCTTTTGATTTAATTAATAAGGGGTGGTTAGTGCCTTGCTTCAGGGTTACTCGCTCACTGCTTATTCAACCATGTTGTCACGCTCCCTTAGACCAGTTTCCTACTAGTCTACATTTATACAGAGTTGTGTCATTAAGACTATTCATCCTTCATTTTGTTTTACTGAAGTGATAGAAAGTCTACACAGGTGAATGTCTTATATTGTCCATAAATGCTGGCACAGCGTGACGCAGTTAGCAATCCTGACAACAATGCAAAGGCAATGAGCCAAGCATATTGTCACATGAGTATGTGCTTGTGGAGGTAGGAACTTTATTGGAGCAATGTCCAGGACTTTGTTGGACATGTGATTTTTCTAGAATCCCACAAAGTGGTGTGTCTTTGTTGATTTCTACTGAAATCCTTGTAGATCTCTATAGACAATTGTGATGTCTGTCAGTAAGATACTGCAACAATGCAACAAAGCTAAGCTGTGTATATATGTTTGTTTTTTTGCTGGTAAGCCACTCTAGATCTGAAACTGTGACATTATCTGTTTTCTTTGTCTACAATAAGGGAAAGTAAGATCTGCCAGTCAAAGATACTTGTACTCATTTATGCAGGTGCCAGGAAACCTCAGTGTTGTTGACAGCTGACAGGTGCTGCTCACTCAACTATCCAGCCACTGAAATAATGACCATAACTGAGACATCAGGAGAATAATGTCAGCCTGCCAGCCAGCTACGTTTAACAGGCCTGTTTCAGGTGCTGTCTCCACTGTGCACTGACAGTACCATTCATCTCGCTATCGTCATAATAACCACTACCAGAGAGGAAAGAGACAGAGGTGAGGTGGGAGGTGGGAAGATGTATAAATATAGCCTGCCTATAAATATTACTTCAGAGTTTCTCACTTGAAACTGAGACATTATTCACAAAGCTACAGTACATTCGCACACGGCATTTTGTGTGAGAGCAAAATTGCAGAAAAAAACAGAGATGTGTGAGCATCAGTGAATTCATTTGCTGTGTTAATTTGAGCCCGGAGGAATAGTGCAGCTGTCTTTTTATAAGATTAAAGCCACTCCTTTAGAATTTCAAGCAGTCATTCACCATGATCTACAGACATAAAGCAGACCATTTCGCTCTCCCATGAGCTGTTCTCACACTTGATAACAATGTAGTCTTTTGTCTTTACCGTCTGGTCGAGAAATGCTTTCTCCAGTTCTTTTCAGTTTGTCCAACACTGATAACAATAAGTGTACGATTACTGCATTTCACTCTTAGCTATGTTTCTGTTTCATTTATTGTTGGCCAGGAGTGTACAATTATTGCTAAGTGAGAGTCTTCATTATTTTGAGAGATACGATTGAGAAATTCTGATTGTAAGAGGAACAAATTCATTTAAACAATGCTTTACATTTAATTTTAACTACATCAGATGATGTAAATGAAATCTTTCAGTGATGTAAAATCATCAGTTTTATACATAAACTAATGATTAAATGTGCAATCTGTTATTCTCATCAGTGTTCTTCTGTCATGAAACTGTATCGGGTGGCGTGAAAATGTAATTACTCCAGACAGAGAAGGCAGCCAGGTACAGGTGTGGTGAATGTCCTCAGAAACAGGAGATATCCACAGGTCCAACTCTACAGAGAAAAGGTTCGGTCTGCTTTGAGAGGATCTCATTAACTGTGGTGGTTTATGTCATTGTCTGTTTTTCATTCGGTATTTGTGGAAATTGATGAATGTAGTGTGTTGACATTCGGCATGTACTGTGAACTGTTTTGAGAAACAGAACAGTCTTTGTGGAGACAAAGCAGGACATTGGTCCAGTCCTCTCCTGGGTTCTA